ATTTTCTATTTTAAACCTGATTTAAAGCGTGCGGCCGCACCGTGCAGCGCGTCGCGGTGTTTAACGTGCACTTCGATTTTAATTAAACTTCTCCGGATATTCGTCGAGGATTGGACGTGATCAGGCCAGGAATACTTTCGCGGCCGCTACGACAGTATAACAAATACCGTTCACCGTTGAACAGAGAAGGGCGTCGACACGGGACACCAGGGGGGAGGGGGCCACCCGGAACCCAGGCCGTGACAACTCCGACCGGACAATAAGTCTCCCTCCGCGGAGAAATAAACTTCGACCGGCGGAATTTCAACCGTGTTCACCTCGTTCCGCTCGCAGGTTCCGTGTTGGCCGTCGACAGCTCTTCGATTCTGTATTGGACGTCGGCGCATCGGAAGAAATTTGCATTCGGCTCGGAATTGAATTGATTCGCGCTCTGAGTTTATTTGACTAGGGAATTATGCGACAGCGGGGCCACGGATATGATTTCTGAAGGAAATCTGCCCGCGACGGCCAATTCGTCCGAAAATCTGGACGAAGTTCGACAAGAAAGCCTGCGGTTCGTTGATGTCAGTGAATATTGTTGATATAAAGCGGCGAACAGAAGATTAACACTTTATCGTCCGGTCGTGGTTGAGGCTGCCACTCAGTAAGGACTGGCTTAGTCGCGCGCGCATTTGCTCCCAGTACCGGCTAAATTTTCGCTATTCATTGTGTTGTGCTTATTCCTTTAAAAATAATAATAAATAATAATATAATTATTATAATTATAATTCATAAGGATCTGTCTCTTATACACATCTAGATGTGTATAAGAGACAGGCTACTAACAAAACAGTAAAGAAGCGAAAACCGTCGATAGCTAAAAGTCGATTAATAGGCTATCGGTCGATAAGCATTGGCAATCGAAAAGCCGATTAATAGGCTAGCGATCGATAAACATTGGCAATCGAAAAGCCGATAAATAGGCTAGCGGTCGATAAAGTGTTAAGACGGTAGGAAACATAGGAAGATGGTCAAGAGACCAGAAACGTAGAAATTGCATCAGATGTGTATAAGAGACAGCCCCATATCCTTATGAATTATAATTATAATAATTATATTATTATTTATTATTATTTTTAAAGGAATAAGCACAACACAATGAATAGCGAAAATTTAGCCGGTACTGGGAGCAAATGCTGTCTCTTATACACATCTAGATGTGTATAAGAGACAGGCTACTAACAAAACAGTAAAGAAGCGAAAACCGTCGATAGCTAAAAGTCGATTAATAGGCTATCGGTCGATAAGCATTGGCAATCGAAAAGCCGATTAATAGGCTAGCGATCGATAAACATTGGCAATCGAAAAGCCGATAAATAGGCTAGCGGTCGATAAAGTGTTAAGACGGTAGGAAACATAGGAAGATGGTCAAGAGACCAGAAACGTAGAAATTGCATCAGATGTGTATAAGAGACAGCCCCATATCCTTATGAATTATAATTATAATAATTATATTATTATTTATTATTATTTTTAAAGGAATAAGCACAACACAATGAATAGCGAAAATTTAGCCGGTACTGGGAGCAAATGCTGTCTCTTATACACATCTAGATGTGTATAAGAGACAGGCTACTAACAAAACAGTAAAGAAGCGAAAACCGTCGATAGCTAAAAGTCGATTAATAGGCTATCGGTCGATAAGCATTGGCAATCGAAAAGCCGATTAATAGGCTAGCGATCGATAAACATTGGCAATCGAAAAGCCGATAAATAGGCTAGCGGTCGATAAAGTGTTAAGACGGTAGGAAACATAGGAAGATGGTCAAGAGACCAGAAACGTAGAAATTGCATCAGATGTGTATAAGAGACAGCCCCATATCCTTATGAATTATAATTATAATAATTATATTATTATTTATTATTATTTTTAAAGGAATAAGCACAACACAATGAATAGCGAAAATTTAGCCGGTACTGGGAGCAAATGCTGTCTCTTATACACATCTAGATGTGTATAAGAGACAGGTATGCTGACCTCCCCATATCCTTATGAATTATAATTATAATAATTATATTATTATTTATTATTATTTTTAAAGGAATAAGCACAACACAATGAATAGCGAAAATTTAGCCGGTACTGGGAGCAAATGCTGTCTCTTATACACATCTAGATGTGTATAAGAGACAGGCTACTAACAAAACAGTAAAGAAGCGAAAACCGTCGATAGCTAAAAGTCGATTAATAGGCTATCGGTCGATAAGCATTGGCAATCGAAAAGCCGATTAATAGGCTAGCGATCGATAAACATTGGCAATCGAAAAGCCGATAAATAGGCTAGCGGTCGATAAAGTGTTAAGACGGTAGGAAACATAGGAAGATGGTCAAGAGACCAGAAACGTAGAAATTGCATCTTGCTTAAAAATAAAAGAAACTAAATAAATGAATAATAATTATACAACATACGTATAACTGAAATTATAATTAATCTTTTTTTAATGATTTTTATTGTATAGTTAGGACTTCTTATAAAATTCAATGTTTCTGGTAGCTCTGTGTTCTTTCGAATACGTTAAAAAATGATTATTAGAGTTTAGTTTGTCGCACACAGTGCAAAGTATTAATTAAAACACTCTTCTAGCTTTCGCAAGCTAGAACAATTATGTTGATATGTCAACAGAAACTTTGTTATCGGGGAGAACGGTACACTGATTTTCTGTAAAATGAAATTCATATTATTACACAATAGTTAGAATTATTTATGATTTTATTAGCTACCATCGCTAATTAAACAATTGCCGGTATATTGATTACGTCCTTAATAATGTCTCTATTATAACGAAACAATGTTTGTTTCTTGTATGTCTTCATTCACTTTCATTACTAGATTGGGATAATAGAAAACCGAAACTTCGTTTCGATTTAAAAGAAGTTACTAGCATATTTCATATTTAATTAATTAATTTCATATTTAATTGTTACTTTCATATTTAATTAATTAATTTCATATTTAATTATCAATTTCATATTTCATTCATATTTAATAGCGGTGAAGAATAATCGACACAACCTGTGTGCATGTGTCAATGTATAAAGAAGAGTGAATGCTCCAATTGCTTCGTCGTTGATATTTCTTGACGTAAAAACGTTCCCTTCGATTACCATTTTCTTGTCTACATTTTTATTATATTAAACATCATCTATAAAACCCTCTATTATAAATAAGGTATTATAAGTAAGCTATCATAAACCCTGTATCCCCCTTAACCTAATCAATTAACCAACCCATGAAATCAACGACACGACTCTAAATCGTTGTACTGCAAGCTGTGTAACACATGCCACAGCGATAGTATTTTCCCCGGTGAGAAGGCGCGAACCCCAAATGAAACCCGACATAGCAACCTCTCCATTTATCAGCAGGTATCCGATCGCGAAATTGCGAACAGTCGCAACCGTCTCTCCGAAATCCATTTGCGAAGGATCTCTTTTGCATTTGAAACCATCCAATTCCGCCGGTGTCCTTCCATTCATCCCATCGAGCAGCGGCTAGGGTGGAAAGAAGACATCGGTCTTCCTCAAAAGTGCATTAATCCGACGGGGCCCGTCAAATTGGCCCCGAACAATTAAGCGCCGCCGATGAAAAGCAACGTCTCCGAGGAAGTCCGGGCCGGTGGCGCGTTTTGGCCGCGGGTCTCGGGAAAGCATGGCCTGCGAAAGGGGGGTAATTAATTTTTAGCCGGCCGCAAAGCCAAGCCCGGCAGGCCGCGGGGAAACAGCTTATGCGGCAGGGAGCCGGTTTCCTCTGGCCCGGGCTCGGGGAAATTCATCATCGGCAATGCGGAATAGATTAATGTCGCCTCTCGCGCTTGCAAAGGGGTGGAAACTGAAGGGGGGGAGAGGGGACGGATGGTGGATTCACGGAGCTTTCATCCTCGTCAATGCTGGAAACTTCGAAGCCCCACCACTCAGCAAGTTAGGCCCCGGCCGCTAAATTACTTCGAATCGAGTTGCTCTCAAAGGACTCCCTTCCCGCTCGCACCTGCCCTAACTATCTAGACTGCGACGCAATTCTGGCAGTAGAGCCGACCAGCCTGTCGAGATTACGAATTGCTGTACAATCCGATCGGCCTGCGGTCCCAAAAATCGGCCAGCGATGCTAAAACCTCGAAGCCGCTGGTGGAACCGGGGTTCGGCGTTAAGCGAATAAAAAGTTCGGGTAACGTTTCGAATCGATTCTTTGGATAACGTTTTAATCGAATAGCATTTCGAATGTAGTAAATTATTTTCAAACATACTGGCGTGAAAGAAATTTTATTCACGTAAATTTATTTTCGAAAACAGTGTTTGATATTTAATGTCAGACAAGATTTTTGGATTTGCAGCTTTGCTTTTTAATTACTAGTTAGTTATCTGAACTTTATAATTAATTAATAGTTAATTCTGATGATATGTAGTGTATACAAAATTTAATAAAATATTTATTTTGCTCAGTTGTTTACGTTTATATGAATTTTAATATAATTATTAATATAACATTATTATTATTATTATAACATTATTGATATAATAGTTAATATAATATTATTATTATTATTATAACATTATTACTATAATCATTAATATAATATAATTATTATAATAATAATATTATTAATATAATCATTAATATAATATTATTATTATTATAATAAGATTATTAATATAATCATTAACATATGTATTAATATAATTCTTACGTAAAGGAACTGTCTTTCCCGAGCTTCTTTAAATAATAAATAACAATGGGCCCGCAAATCAAAAAGTTACTTCTAATAACGAATAATTTTTCATCGAATAAAATTTCAATTAATATGCTCCGAATAGATTTTTCGAAGTAAATTTTACTCGGCCAATGTTTCATTAAAAATTTCGAACTTAAAAAAATGTTGCTTCTCTTCTTACAACCATCTCAATCTAATTCTTAGATCGAGTGTCTGCGAAACGAATAAAACAAATCTGCGATTTCACAGCAAAAACTCAAAAGCTCATCCCCGCTAAATAAATATATTTAGCTAAATAAATATTATTTAGCTTCCTCGAAAAGCCGCACCCGGCCGAGGCTTGTTCGCAGTGCAGAATGTCAAAACATACTTTTTGGTGCCGCGAATCGTGAAACTGGGAGGCCAAAACTGCCCCGGCTCGGCGAGATCAAAAAAGTCGAATCGGAATAACGCCGGGTATTATATTTCTGGGATGAAATGGACGAACGGGAAACCTGGGAACCGGGAAGCCAGAAGTCAGCGATTGAAGGGAGCCCGTGATAACCGTGAGTGCCTTCCTTTTTTATCCGATTTCATGGTCCTCCTTTTTTTGCGCCGCGGACCGAGCGATAGCACCGGTGACCCAGTGATTCGAGATGGAATTTGCCAGCAGCGACGGGATATCTTCGTTTGCCTGGAACAAACGAATCCACGGTCAGAGGTGCCGGCGGTTTTTACCGACGAGTTTTTGAGTCGTCCGCCTGCCTCTTTTCGGCTGGGAGCTCGCTCCGATTTAATTAGAGCAGGACGAAATCTCCGACAGAGAGTCGTGATCGCTGATTTTATCCGACCGTGGATCACTCTCTAGAGTCGCCCCCTACGTTTCCGTATGCTCATCTGGCCGAGATCGATACGATCCTTGGACCTTATGGCGTTTTCCCGTAAATTGGCTCCGTGGTGACTTTCTGAAGGTTTTTATCTGATGGGGCCGTTTTTGGTTATAAGGACATTTGGGAATGTTATTTATGGATTAGTTATTGAACACAGCGATGAGAAATTACTAAAATATGTTACAATGATTTGTTACCGTATTTATGTTTGTATAATAATGTTGTATAATTTTCTATAATTTTCTGTGTAATTTTTTATATTTTGTAAAATAAATTTCTATAAAAATTTGTCACTAGAATTTATTCGTCGCTATACCGTGAACGTTTATGCAAAATACAAATTATCTGCGTTAGTTGCAAAAAATAGGAGTCGATTAGACATTGCATTTTTTTTCTTTAATAATTTGAGCATAGTAAATTGAAAGCAATGTATCGATATTCATAGTATTTAATCATTGTGAACATGCAATTGGTTAGAATGTTAATTATTTGATCGATGAATAAAATTGATATACTGAAAAGAAAATTATTTATCTCTTCATGCAACATTTTTTTGTGTATCGTCGAGACTGATGCGTGACGAACATGAGAAATGAGTCTGATACGCGAAGAATATGATAAACGAGACTGATACGTGATACCATTTTTCAGCCGTTAAGTGACATAGCGTAAAATAAATGGTGGATCGATGCACGCCGCAACAACTCGCAGAACTAACAACTACTTTCATTAAACCGAACGTAATTGCAAGGGCCATCAATTAATCTGCATACGCAATAACGTTAAAATTGATTCATATTATCATCGGATCGCGGATTTTTGTGCAAAGTAAAAACAGTTTAAATTAATTTAAACAGAATTTGCAGTCGGTTGAAAATATCTTTCCTCTTATAACAATTGTAATAGTCAATCTAATAATATTGTAATTGTTAGGCTACCGAGACATAGCAATAAAATCTTGCTCACCCCGCATAAACGCAATTCATCGCAAAACAGCCCCGTCACGGCACCCGAAAACGCAGACCAATTACCAAATCCTTCACTTCTTCGGGCGAGAGCCTATAGAAGTAGCTTCAAAGAAAGCTCGCAGAATTTCCATCGTCTAAACGAACCGCCCAATATCCGTCTGCAAGGTTCTCTGACCCGGCGCTCGGTATACTAACCCAATAAAGTTCGAAGGGGAGGAGACGAGCCGGAGAAATGGGGTTGGAGGCCTCTTGTTAGAGCCGTCGATTATTTAAGAGTCCTTTTTAATTATATCCCGTTGAACGCGGCCGAAGGGAAGCCGCGAGACAAGGGGTGAGTTTCCGTAGCGACGTCTGCAAGGGGTGGAAAGCACACAAAAGCGGTGAAAAATATGTTCTTGTGCGAATCGCATATTTACGGTCAGGATAAGTAATAACATTCGCTTGACGACATTTACAAGTGACAATAATAAATAAATAAATAAATAATAAATAATTATAAATATTTTTAAATATTTTATTCAATAATTGATAAATAATTATAAGATACAAATATTACGTTTATTAGTACTAATATTCAATGCACAATATGAATGAATTTTGAAAAAAAGCTAAATTGTGGCAGCAATAATTTAAAAAATAATTTCAAATAATTTAAAAAATCACTCTAAGCATTCCAATAGTACCCAATAGAAGCTAATTTCTTTGTTAAAATATCAAAGCCAAAACTTTACCCTACACAACAATACCAATCAAATTACTGAATCCACTAAGATATGAATTACAAAATTAAGAATGAAAATAAGAATATTAAATGGCTGACAAGTCAACAAACTATATACTATAAAAATTAAATTTTGCTCAATTCAAATGCAATTAGTTAAGTTAAAAAACTGTTGATAATAGTTTTATATTTCACTCCTTTTGAGACGGTCTTTTTCTTCAATCGTACAGACGTGTTAATAATTAACAAAAAAAAATGAAAAGAAATTATACCACGCTGTGACTCAAATGTTCCATTCATTTTAATTTTGAGGGACTTTTTACCGCTTTTGAACGCCTCCTGGCCTGTAGCGCGATGTTTGCGAGGCGGCAGTATCTCGACGCGCGGATTAAGAGCTTCGTTCGCGTTAATCCGCGCGGGAATCGTTTGCCATGCGTGCCTCCGACGAAACCTCGAGGTGAACCTCGCCGATATCCAATGGCAAGGATCGGTCCAGGATCCGCTGAGAACTTGAGCCAACTTCCGTTTAAGCATCGCGGAGAAGCGTCGTCGTCGTCGTCGTCTCGTCAGCCTGCCCGATTCTGGATCCGGTCTACCAGCACGTCGCTGCGGTACTCGAACGCGATTACTGTAATAAGTGGCTGTGTAACGATCGGATCGATCATCGGCGGGAGTACTGCATCGTCGGTGGTGGAACGTACTCTTCCTTGGCTCCCGCAGTTTATGACGAACCAGCACCGTCTTTCGAAGCTCCGCGACCACGAGGATTAAACGCCAACTTCGGGACACTCGAGTTTGCAGCTCCGTGGAGATCGAGTTTCGGGGTGATTAGGGGAACAGGTTTTCGGGAGAGGAGTTTGGAAAGGTTGTGCTGCTACCGGTCGCCATGTTGCGATCCTAAGGTGAGACTTCCGATGTTCGTCGTTAGCAGATTATAGATCATTATGCAAAATAAAATTAATTGCAAGAAACAGAAATTAAATAAAAATGTATTCGTCTTTTTAATAATATTGATAGATTGAAGAGACGAGAACATTGTTCTTCGACTTTGTTAGTGTGTAGAGTGTGGATCATTATGCAAAATAAAATTCCCCTAAGTTAGTTCTGAGAAACAGAAATTAAAAAAAAAGGAATTCGTCTTTTTAATAATATTGATAAATTGAAGAGACGAGAGCAATGTTCTAATGTGTAGACTGTGGATCATTATGCAAAATAAAATTCCCCTAAGTTAGCTTTAAGAAACAGAAATTAAATAAAAATGTATTCGTCTTTTTAATAATATTGATAGATTGAAGAGACGAGAACATTGTTCTTCGACTTTGTTAGTGTGTAGACTGTGGATCATTATGCAAAATAAAATTCCCCTAAGTTAGTTCTGAGAAACAGAAATTAAAAAAAAAGGAATTCGTCTTTTTAATAATATTGATAAATTGAAGAGACGAGAGCAATGTTCTAATGTGTAGACTGTGGATCATTATGCAAAATAAAATTCCCCTAAGTTAGCTCTAAGAAACAGAAATTAAATAAAAATGTATTCGTCTTTTTAATAATATTGATAGATTGAAGAAATTAGAGCAATGTTCTTCGATTTGATTAATGTGTAGACTGCGGATCATTATGCAAAATAAAATTCCCCTAAGTTAGCTCTAAAAACAGAAATTAAATAAAAATGTATTTGCCTTTTTAATAATATTGATACAATCGAGAAAAGAGAGCAATGTTCTTCAATTTTATTAATGTGTTATTTTAATGTGATATTTTACTTAGTCATTTTTGTCATAAATGCATAAAATTCGTATTCTTTGTTGCAGATTATTTTAATGTTGCATAAAAATCCGCAGTCTAGTGATTATTACACGTCTCCAGATCTTTACGGTGATCGTAGAAAAATCCTCAATTTCATGGCAACGGAATCTAAAAAAATTCCGGGTCGCAATTCCGAAAGATAAGCCGCAGAAAAATCATTTCCGCGATCCATAAAATTTGCTAATTTATTTACATTAGCAAGAACGATAAAATTGTAATTATTCGTGTTCGACACGACTATAATTGTATCGACGATTGTACGAAAATGGTTGATTTTGAATTTCGCAGAGGAAGATTGAAGATTCGCAACGACGTGGGACGCTCGGAATCGATGCGACCCGCGAACGGAGCGGAGCGGAGCGGAGAGGACCGCGGCGCGGCGGGCATGCGTGGCCGTTTCGCGCTCGAAACCGCCTCGGTTTTATTATCCGGTTGACCTTTCGAGTTGACTTTCCGCATTTTAGCGAAAATCCTGGTCGAGTCACGCACGGTTATCGGTGGGCGAATCGGCGATACCGCGCGCTCCTCCCGTCTCGTCGCTGGTCTCCGCTTAAATAGACCGGAACGCGGTGGATAATTCAACCGACAGGGTAAATATAGCCGGTGAGACGGGTCGAGGGGGTAGAAAAGCGGGTTCGGATTTAAATAACGAGCGAGAATGACGATCTCGCCTCTAGTGTTTTACCTCCTCGACTTGTGTCGACTCGGGGGATCGCCTGGCTTATATCAATAATGATAAGAATAATAAGGAATATATTATTATACCGTCGAATGAATGGACTTAGGATTCAGCGTTTTACCTCCGTCGTAATACATAATCTAGTATCGCACGTGCGCAGCAAAAATATCCCTTGTCCCGCACTTTTCGTTTGCTTTGCCGAAATTTCCCCGGGTTCCTTGCGAATTCGCAGGAAATTCAAGAGATACTGCGGCGAGAATAATTGTTCTATTATTCCCGCTGTTTAATAGATAATTTTGATTATGTGTTTCTTCTATGTTACGTTTCTCCGATTTGATCGTAGTTATAAATGCATAAATGATCTACGATAAACCTCATTTTCTCACTTAAGTATCTATTTTCTATTTATTTATTTTTTATTATACTATTTTGCCACATTTACGATATAAAATTGCACTTCGTAATGTCAGCTGAATATTAAGAATTGTTCATAATTTTAATAATATAAGATTATTAAGAATATAATATATTATATTATATTATTATAATATTAAGAATATAAG